ACGTGTCACTTGGCAAAGGGAATCAACTGGGAAACGATGTTGTAAATATCGGTCTTCTAAATCTTATCAGACATCATAGAAGATAATAAGGTGTAAACTCTCTTAAAGATCTTACATAATAGAAACTCGCTAGAAATTCGATATGTGTGCGCGTATCATAAAATTAAATGACAGGGGCTCATAAATTCTTATTGTCGCGACGAATCGCACACTTTTAACGATCTTTCTTATTTCCACGTCGATATTAATTTTCTTCTGCTCGCCTTTATAATTTATCGTTCAAATCGATCGGTCTGAGGCCGCACTTGGCTGCCGTTGTCTAAGTGAGTTCAGCTAGTTCGCGCCATGCACGTAGAGAGTGCGTCTGTGTGGGTATTTTAATAGGGGTATTAACGATAAATTTAACACAAAACGCAGTTGAGATCTTAATCTTCAGCTCGTTTAAGTAAACTCGTTACGCGGTCCCTACTTCGGAGGAAGTGGAGGCAGCATCGTTAGCATAAGCGATGACCCCTTCCTCTCCGCTCCGACTGCCGTGCTACATGTTAATAAGAAGAACGCTCGCTCTGCAAAACAAAGGGAATAAACTGGCTGCGTCGAGAAGAAACCTGTCTTTGTTTCCGTTTATTAACGCGTTCGCCGACACGTTTGATTAATTCCACGGATTAGCGTAATTAATGTTCTCTTAAGGTTTAGTCCGCGCGCAAAACGGTATTTCGCCCGCTGAAAAATTGAACGCAAAAATACTGGCCAGTTCAGCGCGTTCGAATGAATTTACCCGATGAGCTTGATAACGAGCTCGCTAAACAGGATTTGCCGCTAATTTAAATGTTAATCAAAATCCTCTTTAGGAGTACTGCGATTATAAAGGCAATAAAATTGAAATCTTTTTTATTACGTTTAATCTCGAGATAATAAAGTGTCCGTATGGAAGTTTACCTTTATTACGCTTATCGCGTAATATCGCAAATCAAAATTTGTTAAAATGTCCCGATAGAATCCCCACTCGGTGCGTTACTTTTGCGAGAAATCTTATATCTTAAATGTGCGCCGTCAGTTTCACGAGGCACTGCCTCTTCCATGGAATCCTTTTATAAAGCGGACGTTTATTTCGCCATGCTTCTTCTCCCAATTATTTTCTTTCTCTTTGTCAAAGATCTCCGACTTTTCTCGAATAGGGGTATTATTTTACATGGAAAACTGATTTGTTCTTGATTTCGTTTTCTGAACGCAACTCGTTAGCCCCGCGATCCGTCTTGAATCGAAGTATTCGCGGCTTAACTCAACTCCGTTAACAAGGTAAATTCTCCCCCGGCCGACCTCGGTGGTAGACTTCATTGACGTCATTACGATCGAGGTTCGCCAGAATGCTGCGCCCACAGTACCGAATAGTTCGGGCTTACCAATTGTTCTCCCAGGAATGCCGTCAATCTCCATTCGTGGAATTGTTACGAGAGCAACGGCGGAGGGGGTGGGGGGCGGGGATTCTCGTGCGTGATACCCACGGCGTCCCCGTCTTAACGATTCGTCTTTATCCCACCCGGTATAAATTGCACCGGATATTATTTTCGTCGCAAAACTCCCCGAAGTCGCGCGATTAATCTTGTAACTTAATGCAGGGACGGTGTAACTTAAGACCGGGGCAAGTTCCTGGCTACGCTGCGATCATGCGATTTCGCGACTTCCGCTTCTTCTCTCGATTAACTCTCGAATATATATCGTCCCCTTTTTCATACTGTAGGGTTAATCTGAAAGTGAAAAGTATGGCGAATTATATTTCACTCGATAAATTTGGATTAACGAAGCGAAGGCTATATTAGATCTCGGATAAAATATTCGATCTTTAATTTAGCCAATGTATGTATATATATATATATATATATACTTTAAAATAAAGATATATATAATAAATTAATAAAAATAATATATATATATAATAATCATAAGAAAAAATAATATATATATTACGTACGCAATTACGTATTCTTTTTTATTACTAAATTTTTAGTTAAGTTCTACTTTCCGTATTAAATTTACCGTCGAGAATTACTACTTTAGTAGTTCGTTTACTACGTGAGGCATATAATACACGCGATGCATTTACG